GACCCTGCCCAGATGCTGGGTCTCTGCTTCCTCTGAATCCCAGCAATGGCTGAGGGTTTGGAGGAGATGAGGCCCGGGCACCTGCAAGGTGACTACAGCCAGTTCCATCTCCTCTCTGAGCCTTCCTCATTGTGTGTCTAATATAATCCACGCACAGGGTGGAAGGGGGTCTTATGGGACTTTAGCCTAAGCCCAGATGGTCCAACTTGGGCCTCCAGCCCTGCCTGGTCAGTCAACTGATCAATTAATTGATTGACAGCTGATCAGTGACCTCCAACGCCCCCACCCACACATGCACACACCCCTGGGAAAGAGAGGACAGCTGAGCCTAAGCGTGAGACCCCTGGAAAGGGCGTGGAAACAACGCAGAGACTCTTTGGAGCCTGAGAGGGCCGAGGAAGGAAGCAGGAGGACTCGGGGTGAGCAATGGGCAGCGGTCATCACCAGCCAGGCTGAGGGGGATAGTGTGAGCAGTGGGGGGCTCAGGAGGGACCGCTGTGATGGCCTGGGGACCCGCTCGTGGCCATGAGGACATGACCGATGCAGGTCACCAGATGCTCTGGACCATCTCAGGGCAAGGTGGGTGAGTGACCTGGGAAGGCAGGGCCAGGCTCTACAGGTCAGGGGCGGGAGTCAGCGGCCCTGCCACAGCCACTCCTGGGCCATCGAGTGCAGACCCTGGAGGTGGTCCCTCCTTCTCACCCCCCCTCCCCCAGGCCTGCCAGGGAATCGGCTGCAGGAAACATGGTTTGTGGACACAGAACCTGCAGGAGGGGCTGGCACGCACCTGGCCCACATGTCGGCCTTGCTGGCATCTAGCCCTCCCTGGGAGAAGCCATCAGCCTGGGGACGAGAGCAGTGGGCAGTGAGCCACATGAAGAGGATGAGGCCCAGGCTCACCAGGGCACCTGGAACAGAATAGGCCGTAAGCAGTCGCCAGTCCCCCGCGACCCCCCACCCCTGCACTTTGAGGTTGAGCCCTGACTGAGAGGGAGCATATGTGTGGGAGCACCCGGCGTGGGTCTTCCCAGGGGACCCTGTGTCCTGGATGGGTCTGTGACCGACCCCAACATGGAGACCTTGGAAGCTATGTGGCGCTGGTTACCTGTGTGTGGCAGCCTGGGCCGAGCGTGGTGTGTGCATTCGTGGGTGTGTGTATGTGACCAGGTTAACGTGCATGGTGTGACAGTATGTTTAACCATATACATGTCTGCCTGACCTCGTGTGTTCCTAGTGGTATGTACATGTGATATACACATGTATGGTGGCATGCACATGCCTAAAGTCGCGTGCATGCCCAACACAGTACATCTATGTGTCTGCTGGTGGGCAGTGTATGCGTGTGTGATGATGTGTACATGTGTATAGCTGGTGGTGCCTTTTTGTGTGTCTGGAAGTATGCACACACATATGTGATGGCATGTATGTGTGTCCACATGTGTGTGCTGATGTGTAAATGTGTTGACAATATGTACACATGTGTGCAGGTACATATACTCCTTCTCCCTCCATCCTCATGGCTCTCTGCTTCCAGTCCGAGCCCCCCAAGCAGAGGGACTGGGGTCAACCGTCACCTCCTCCTGAGCCCCTTCTAGCCACGGCCTCCCCTTTTCCCTGCCTGGTCCCTGCCAGGACCTTCAGGCCCAGCATGCTTGCCCTCCTCCTCCCCTTCCCTGGCCCCAAGCTGGCCAGGGGGACACCCCAGAGCAGGACCCCTGAGTGCAGGCTCAGGAGGATTCTGTGGCTGGAGTGTGAGTGCCCTCCATGCATATGCCGTGATTTCGAAGGTCATGCCCCCCTGGGGAGCCGCTTCCACGACGGGAGCCATCTCACCTGCTCTGGGGCCCATGGCTGTGTGGCGTGCACAGGTTGTCCTGGCAGGAAGTTGCAGGGGAAATGGACAGCGGGTACAGGACAAGCTGGAGAGGAGACAGGAGGTGACGAGGCCGGCCCCACTGCGTCTCCCCACCAGCTTCGGCCAAGGGGCACAGACAGGGGTGCCACCCAGTCACGCAGGATGGGCACTGTGCAGGGTGGGTGACCTGAGCCTGGCTGTAGCTCTGTCTCTCTGTTGTTGGGCAACCCCAGGCAAGTCTACAACATGGGCCTTGAGGACACAACCCAATAAACAATGTGACTTTGGAACAAAAGGTCCTGCGGAGGGGGAGCGGGGCCTTTCTTATCACAGGTTGGGGCTCCGGGGACCTGCAGACTGTGGTGTCTCCAAAGAACAGATCTCTTGACAGTTATAGGGGAGTGGACAGTGGCCCCAGCAAGTCCCCACAGGTAGCTGAGGCAGAAGCCTGATAGCTTTCCAGCCTGCCCTGGTGTGGCTGTGGCTTCACCCCCACATCTGGGTGGCCCAGGCAGCTCTCTGCCCCTCTCTGAGCCTGAGGCCTGGCCTACGCACAGCCCACTCTGCAGGACCCCAGGGCAGCCCTGGCCGTGGTGGAGACCAAAACTGTGAGGCCTGGTGATGAGATGCAGGTCCTGGGAGGTGAGGGGCATTGGGGAACCTGGCCCATGCTGCCCACTCCTGGGCACAGCCTTGTGCAGTCTGACAGCTCTGGGTACCAGTGGGCCTTTGGACTCCACATGGCTCAGGAGCCAGACAGGGAGGTTACTGCCCCATGCAGGGGGCAAAATGGAGGCTCAGAGGGGCTCAGCTCCCTGCCCAGGGCTGCAAAGGCCAGACTCGAAGCCTGGGCCCTGTGGACCCAACTGGCGGTGGCCCCCGACCTGGCCCCAGGTCCCAACCCCTCACCTGAGCACAAAGGCCTTCTGCAGTAGACGTTGGTGTTCCGGGGCTAGGCAGCAGCTGTCGGCTGCAGGGGGTTGTCGATCAGGTGCCAGGCACTCCAGACACTAGTGGGCCAAGCCCATCAAGCGTGTCAGCTCCCACAGCTGAGCTCTGGAGCACAGGTGTGGTGCAAGGTGGCGGTGCCAAGGTTCCTGCTCATGCCTCCCAGCACTCTGCCCATGCAGCCACCCACTCCTGCAGTGACACCTGCCAGGCAGACGTGTAGGGGAGGGGCTGGGGCTGTGCCAGGTGACATTGCCGCGTTGGCCCCTGGGGCCCCAGCACAGCGGGCACCTGCTCCCCAGCCCCGGGGGAGTGGGAGGCTGAGTGCACAGTTGGTGACTGCCCAGCGTAACTCCTTCCCACTGGGGTTCCGTGCCTTGAGGGTCATGTGTGTGTTCATGCACGTGCACCCCTGCCTGTACCGTGTGCTGCCACCTGCATGTGAACACAGGTGCCAGTACATGTGCGCCTGGGAGCATACACATTTGTGTGCATGTGTGTCCCCTGCACGGACATTAGAAACACGTGGACTCAATGTGGCACCTGGGTTTAGTGATGTGTGTGGTGGTGTTTCTGTGCTGTGGGTGCTGGAGCAGTCAGGCATGTGATCTACACACCTGTGTGTCAGGGACAGGGAGGGTGTGCGGGCACCAGGCAGGCAGCCTTGATGGTGAAGAGTGTGGCACACATGCCCTGGGGCCCATGGAGCCCAAGATGGGGCCAATCCACCAGGCAGGACTCTGAGGCCAAGCAGGAGAGATGACTGCAGGACTTCCTGACCTAGCCATGGAAGCCTCTCCCCCAGCTGAGGTGGACTGGAGCCGGATGCCCCAGGCTGAACCCCCACCCCCAGCTTCAGCTTTCACCACCTCCTGGGAGGAGCCTTAAGCCCCCACAGCCTGGGTTCAGCTGCTGGATGACCGCCATTCACACCGCAGGGCCACACATGCCCAATGAGCCAGCCTCACCATCAAGCAGAGGCACTGACCTGGGCCTGGGGGCTGACAGTAGGGAGGACCAGCTGGGGGTTGCTCCTGGCCCCTGCACAGACCCCATGGGAGTCCAGGTTTTGGCTGAAGGCTTGTTGGGGCTCTATAGACACTGAGGGGTTTTGGGGCGGGGGGGCGGGCATGTCACATGGTAGTGAGACCTCCACCCATCCCAGGGCTGGAGACACCCTCGGGCCAGAAGGGTTGGGAGCAGGAAGCAGCGAGTGCAGGAGGTCACGTGCTCGTCTGCCCACTGCAGGCTCGGCTGACAGGGTAGACCCAGGCTGGACAAATGACCACAGTAACGGGACAGTTGCTGGGCTGTAGAGACACACCTGTCCTGGCTCTTCCACACACTACCTCACTGAGTCAGCCCCCTGCCCAAGGCACAGCTGAGATGCCCATTTTGCAGATGAGGAAACTTGGGCCCAGAGAGGCTGAGCAAGTTCCTGTGGCCACACAGCAGTGAATGGGGAGTCGGGTCAGATGCTGCAGCCGGGGCTGGGCACCTGTGTGTGAACCCACAAGTATGGGGGTGGAGGGCCAGGTGCAAAGGGGGAGAGGTGGGGCAGGTCTCAGCAACAAGTTGACCTGCCCTTAAGTGAAAGGATCAGTGAGTGTTAGAACTGGAAAAAAGGAGGGTGTGCGGGACGGGGACAGGCAATGCTATCCCATTGCGCCCTCTGTCGGCCATGCTGGGCACCCACAGTAACCAGCTGACCTACCACTATGGGCATCCCCTGGGCCCCTCTGCTGTGCCCCTCCTGCTACAGACGAGGAAACAGGCGCAGGGACCCAGATCTCTGCAGAGGCCCCATGGTGGCAGCTTCTGGCTCCATTCCATGACAGGACCTGTATCAGCTAGCGAGAAGGGGGTGTCGAGCATAGCTGGGTGCAGGGACGTGGTGTGATCTCGGACTGGCCCAGGTGCTAGCCCTCCCACTGTGTATGTGTGTGTGGGGGCAGTGGTTCTATGAGGGACCCTGGTGCAACAGGTGGATGGCCCAGTGTTTTTGGCTGGGGACCCTCTAGCTTCTCCCCAACTAGGGCAGCAGGGCCCTCGCTGTATGGGGGGGACAGGTAAGCAGCCAGGATCACGAGGGCCATTCTGGGTGCTGCTGGGGGGTTTGGGGCCGAGGTCTGCCAGTGCAGGGGGGAGGGAGTCTGGGCTCCCCCCACAATCCCCACATCAGACTCACGGGCACTTGCAGGGTTAGTCACTGAGCCTTTATTACAAGTCCTGCAGCCCAGCTGCGGTGGGAGTGGTGTGGGTGTGTTGTGGGGAATGGGAGAGGCGGGGCCTGGGCTGCCCTTGCTACCAGTCTAACGACTCCTGGCTGCGTGGAAGGGTGCTGTAGAGCAGCACTTACGCCAGGCCTGAGGGGACAGCCCAGACCCAGCCCCACGTGTGACGAACAGGATGCAGGCAGACAGGGAGGCCCATGGGCAGAGTCTGGCAGAAGCCAAGGCACAAGGCAGTATCAGCCAGGCAGGGGGCGAGTCAGGGGCTACAGGTGGAGAGTGCTTAGCCAGGTTGGGGTGATGGCACTGCGGGTCTGAGTAGAGTGAGGAGCAGGGTGCTCTGGGGGCCCAGGAGGAGCCCGCCCAGGCAAGGGCTGGCACAGGTCCTCGTTCAGGGCAACCTAGGCAAGTCTACAACGTGAGCCCTGGGGGTGAAGCTTTGGAGTCAGACAGGCGTTTCTGGAGGACGGGTAGGCCTTGATTTCCCGTGGCGGGCTGATCCCACAGCCCCGAGCCCTTCGTCCTCTAGAATCACGGCTGCCTATTGGCCCCTCCTCAGGCCTGGCCCCTCTGGCCAGGGTGGAGACTCAGTTCTCGTCCACTGGGACACCCCCACTTTGGGATGGGCTTAGAGTTCTAACCTGTAACCCCAATCTCCCTGGGAGTCCCAGCCTGCACCCCCACCCCAGCCCCACATTCTAGTTGTCTGGCTCCAGTGTCCACTCTGACAGCCACTGAAGGCAAGAGGCACGCTGCGCTTCTGTCTCAGGGGGCTTGGCAGGGGGCGGTGGGGGCCGGCCTGGCCCAGGCAGGGGCATGGAGCAGCCGCAGGGCCCAGGGCCCCCTTCTGTGGGCTCAGGGTCAGGGGCAGTCCGTAGGACCTGGACAAGCTGGTCCAGGGGCTGCACCAGGGTGTGGGGGCTCCAGCTGGCATCAAGGGTGGGCACGAAGGGGTCTGGCGTGCGGGCCTCCACACACTCGGCCTGTGTGGGGATCCGCAGGTAGAAGGCATGCAGCATCATGCGGAACGGTTGATCCTCCTGGCCTGAGGCCTGTCCGTAGGTCAGGTCCCCCACAATGGGGTGACCGAGGGCACTGCAGTGTACACGAAGCTGGTGTGTTCGGCCTGTGTGGGGAAAGGGGGCCAGTCAGGCGGGGGCGCTACTCCATGATCACCCCCCATGATTCACGTCACACCTGGCACTGTCCGCCGCTGCTACCTTGGAGTCTCATGCAATATTTGGGACAGCAGCCCTCCCTGTTTCTTGCTACAGACGATGTCAGAGCTCAGAACAGGAGTCAACTTCTGGGGTCACCTCTGGGGAGGGGAGGGCAGGGCCAGGGCGGCACTCACTCCACTGGAGAACCCAGGCCAGCCTTCCTGCTGCCCTCAAATGCAGGCCAGTGAAACCCCATGTAGGGCAAGAGCTGCAAAACAAGGGTTTGAGAGCACGGAAAAGGACCAGCCTCACCAGCGATGGTTGGGGTGGCTCTGGGAAGGCTACTTTGCCTCTGTGCCCTGCGTTCATCCCTTCCTACGCACTACGAGAGGAAATGCTGATACTAGGTTTCCACCTAGCTTGGGGCAGGACACCATCAGCAGGCAGTGAGGGGTCTGGGCAACTTCCTGGCTCCTGCTCCTGAACGTACCTGTGAGGGGCTGCAGCAGCACTTTGGAGACAGGGTTGCCTGTATACAGCCCATGTTCCAAAACCACCAGCTCCGTGAAGCTTGGTTTCGGGTTCTCACAGCCTGTGGGGAGGAAGGCAGGCTGTGAGGGAAGGCCAGGCGAGCCAGTCCACCCCTGCAAAAGTCAGCTGCCCAGGTTGGCTTCACCTACGCAAGGTTTCCCCTGGATGAAGCACGCCCTGTGGCCCCCACCCCCTGCCCACCGTACCCTGAGTGCCCTCGATGCACATGGTGTGGGCTCGACCCTCCGTGCTGTTCCTGCCGATGGCATAGCTGATGGTCATCCGGCTCTCCTGGATGTGTCCCCGAACCTGCCGGGTAGGGGAGCCCACCTGACACTCAATGTCTGCTGAAGTTGGCTGAGCGTTGGAGTCCCCATGCCCCAGGACCAGCCAGGCCTTACCAGAGCCAGGTAAGCCTTGGTGACACGCCGCTCCTTGAAGCACTTGTAAGCACTGCCCGCGGCTGCCTTGTTCAGGGCCACACAAAGTGCCCCACTGGTGGAGAAGTCCAGCTGGTGGCAGAACCTGGCACGAAGAAGAAAGTCAGCAGTGGCTAGGTTGGGGGTAGCCACTTCCCTCCAGCGGGGGCTGCTGTGGGCTACCTGTGCTGTGCTCCCACATACCTGAACCCGTAGTAGGTGTCCGGATCGGCCAGCTCAGGGAAACGGTGCCGAAGCTGCTTCTGAAGGGTCAGTGTCTCCCTCCACGTCTTGCTGTCAATGCGCACGTCCCAATGCTTGTTCACCACCAGGAAGTCACGACTCCGGTACACGATGGACAGGTTCTCCATGCTGCCTGGCTCCATGGTGGGGGGAGGGCCTGAAATGCAGGGCAAGCATGTGGAGTGGGAGGTCATGGGGTGCAGCCCACATCAGGGTCCTGCCCAACTGGGATGGACATCCTCTGCTCCCAGGGGCCCTGGGTCTGAAGCCACCCACGCTGTATGTCAGCAAGCGCGTGCATCTACTGTGTGCCTGCACCCACTGGGCTCCTTATTACCCTCACCCCTAAAACACGCAGGACAGCGTCAGCTGGGATGGGGGTGTGGCCAAGGTTAGGGGAGCCAGTATTGCTCTGACTGTGGGGCAGTCCCGGCCAGACCCAGGCCCTGGGAGCAGTCTTGCTCTCCAGCCCGCTCCCACCGACCCTTTCCTACATATCAGGAACGCGCGATAGGGGATTTTTCCTGAGTGGGGAGGGAGCCAAGGGGAGGAGCTATTGCGACCCTATGGCCCGGGGGCGGCCCAGGTCAGCTCGGTGCAGGGAGGGAGTCCACCCATATGCCCCCACGCAGACATCCTTTCCTCTGCCTGCCCTCCGCGAAAGCCCCTACTTCCAGCATGTGATGGGCACAAGTCAAGGAGTTTCGGGCAGACCCCGGCTGCGAGCCCCTCCCGCGCTCCCGCCCACTCCCGAACCAACCTGCAGCCGGGCCGCACCGTCCAGGTCCCCAATACCGCTACACCTCGTGACCCACGACCCCGGAGCCGTCCCTCGGGCCACCGACCCGCACCTCTCGGGACCCGGCCTGCACTCACAGCCCCGCCCACGCCCCGCCCACGCCGCCAGAGGGGCGACCGTGCGGGCCAATGGCGAGCGCCCAGGACCCGCGGCCCCTGCTCCGGAGTATTGACTCGGTCCCGCCCGGCCTGCGCGCGCAGCCCCGCCTACGCCCCGTCTGCCCATTGACCAATAGCGAGCGCCGCCGGGCACGCCGGCCGTTGATTGGCGGCGCCGGGACGCTGGGGGCGGGATAGGCGCCCAGCGGAGACGCGGGAAGTTTGGAGCTTACGCCTGGTCCTGTAGGTGCGCGCGATTATGGAGGACTATGATTGGGAGTTGCACGGTGTCGAAGATGACTTCCACAGCCAGTTCGCGGCCGAGCTCGAGGTGCTGGCCGAGCTGGAAGGTGGGTGCGGGCCCCGCCGCAGCCTAGTCACCTGTAGCTCGACAGGGTCCTGGCCGGCCTCTGGGAGCCAGGGGAGGCGAGCGAAGGCCAGAGGCAGCAGCGACCAGAGGCGGGGGTTGGGGGGCGCATCCGAGAGAGAAGGGCCTTCCAGCGCCGCCGACTGTGTGTAGAGGCCGGCTGCCTTGATACGGTTGCTGTGAATCTTCTCTTCCAGCAGGTACAGCGGCCCTGTCACCCTCCAGGGGCCCCCGGGTGGGCCCGGTCCGGCGGACCTTTGAAGAGGCTATTGCTGGAGGGGACGCTGCCACTCCCTGCTCTCCAGGTCGACCTTCAGGGAGCTGCAATAGCGGTTCCAGGAAGAGGCAGCTGGCCACCAGCGTTCAGAAGAACAGGCCCCTGCTCCAGAGTATGTCCGCAGGGGCCCCTGCACAGGGGTGGGGTGGGAGGCATGGGAAGCGCCTCCGTTCCTTCCCAGAGTGTGTGTGTGTCTCCCCAGCCCCTAGGCTCAAGCGGCCCAGACTGGAGGCGGTCAAGAGGCTGAACTTCAGGCTGGATGAGATGGAAGAGTCCCTGCCTCCTGACTCCCCACCTCAGCACATCACCCCCCCACAGAGTCCTGAAGTCCCCGCTGAGCTGTGGGGCAAGGGGTGTGTCCCAGGGGGACTTGAAAGAATCTCATTCCTTGGACAAAGTCCTGAGATCTGGAGCTGGGCACTTGTGGGAGGGCTTGTCAGCTGAGGGTGGATCCCGGCCCCTCGCCTGAGGGTAACAGGAGGCAAGAGTCTGAAGACAGCCCCGTCCCTTCCCAGGCCTGTGGATGCTGATGCTGACACGAGTCTCATATGGGCCTCATCAGCCACCCGAAACCCCGTCCTGAGGCGACCCCCTGTCCTGGAGGACTACATCAACGTGACCTCCACGGGTGGTGACCGGGCCTTTCTGGTGCTTCGAGCTGACCCAGTGGGCACTGGGGTGCAGGTGGGTACTATGCGGCCATAGCAGGGGGCAGAGGATGGGTAGGCTGGCAGTGGCCCTCCTGTGGGGTTGGTGGGCTTGATTCTGCCCAAAGAGTCCTGGGGATCATATCCCCACTAGGACAGTGGAGACTCTTCAGGAAGTTCACCTGGTTTCCTTCCTCGCCTTTCCCCTCCACCTTTCTCCTCTGTCTTAGAGCTGCTCCCCTCCTGGTAGCTTTTCCCCTTCGGGTTTCTGGTTAGAGAGGGGGCTCCTCCACCTCTGAGCCTGCTGATGTTAGGGAATGCCACCTGGGTCCCTGAGTACTGTTGGGAGGAGAGCCGTGGGTAACCCTATGACCTAGAAAGGAGGTCCAGAGGTGACTGCTACTTGTGCTCCCTCACAGAGCCCTTTCCGGGACATCTGGTGGCGTGGCCGTGGCCAGCTGGACCTGCTGGGCATACCCTTCACCTCTCTGAAGGAGCAGGTCGACAATGAGGTGGGGTCTGCTGGGGTCTGCTGGGAGGGGAGGGGTGGCTCTGGAGTGACCGTGGCTGTCCGAGCCATCCTGATCCCACCTCCTGCTGTTTGCACAGCGGCGGCAACGAGTGCTGCATGAGGCCCAGCATCTCTCAGATACACTGCGCAGGTGATGCAGGGCTTTTCCACCCCGAGGGCCCTCAGTGCTTCTTGGGCTGCTGACCCCAAGCCTGAATTCTGGGCGGGGGGTGGTCCCTGCATGTGGTTAAGGCCCAGGGGCTCAGGGTACAATGTTTTTCAGCCTCAGGTCAGAGGAGGTGGAGGAGGCCCTGGAAGAGGAGCCGGCCAATAACCAAGATGACTCAAAACACTGCCTCTGGGTGGACGAGTTTGCACCTCAGCACTACACAGAGCTGCTCAGTGATGACGTGAGACCTTGTTCTTGTTGCTTGGCTTTCTTGTTGCCAAGGATGGGGAATTCAGGGTCCAGCCAAACTATCAACAGCCCATGGGGCTGTTAGGATGGGGGGCAGGGCTCGGCTCTAATTTGCCTCGCCAGGTTGTAGATGTGAAAACAGGCCAGCATACTGCTGGTTACCTGTGATGTGGACTGGGGACCCAGGGCACCCTCTGCCTGGAACCTCTGTTTCCTTTCCCGCTTTCAGCAGGGATGTCTGTGGGGATAGTGGGGGCTCCTGGAGGGGTCAGGACCAGGGCTGTGGGGACAGAGGTCCCTGTGTGAGTCCCACTCTGCCACTCACCGGCAGGATGACGGTGCCTGTCACCTGCTTGAGCATCCCTATTTGTGTCCCTATGCTTATGATAGCATGAGGGGCAGGCAAGGGGAGTCCTTGGTGCTGGTGGTCCCCCAGGCAATACCTCCCTTCTTGCAGTTTACTAACCGCTGCCTCCTCAAGTGGCTGAAGCTGTGGGACGTGGTGGTGTTCGGCCGAGAGAGGCCGGCCCGGAAGCCCAGGCCCAGTGTGGAGTCAGCTCGGGTCGGCAAGGAGGCCGCAGCCTCCAGCAAGTGGAAAAGCCATGAGCAAGTGTTGGAGGAGATGCTGGAGGCTGAGCTGGACCCGAGCCAGCGGCCCCGGCAGAAGGTGAGCCCCATCCAGCTGCACTGCATACACCTCTGAGCCCAGGGACTATACTTCTTGGTCGGCGCCTTTGCAGCTTCTGGGGGCCACAAGGCATACACGTTTACTGCCCTCATGGTTGTGGGCATGATGACGTCAGGGTATCAGTGTGGGGTGTGAATGACGTGAACGTGACTTGAGTTATTCTTCTTTTGACGCAGGTAAAAGCAGTGTCTCTCGAAGGGCCTTGCCTCTCCCACAGGATAATCATGGTGGAGAGTGGGTGGTTTCAGGGGTTTAGTCATGTCAGTAACAGTTGTGTCCCTGTTATGTTCCTCCATCACTTGTTTTATGCAGGACTTTTTCGCATTCTGAAGCACTGGCTCTGAGCCATGAGCATGCTGGGGTTCTCATTTGGTGACGATGGGATGGGGGGACATCCCCTAGTATCAAGCCTCATGGGACAGGATTTTCAGCCTCTGTGGTTGGGCTGGGAACTCCCTGGGGTGGTGCAGGTTGCAGCATGTCTTCACATATCTTGGCTGCAGGTGGCACTTCTGTGTGGACCCCCAGGGCTGGGGAAGACCACCCTGGCCCATGTGATCGCGAGGCATGCTGGATATTCTGTGGTGGAAATGAACGCGAGGTAAGTGGAGGGGAGAGCCTGGCCTCCAAACCGCTCGTCTGTCCTGATGTGCCTGGTGGAGCCGGGGACACCGGTGGGTTAAAGGTGGGGCTTGGGGGCCGGCCGAGTGACTCAGTTGGTTAAGAGCTCGCTCAAGAGTGCGAGCTCTGAGCAACAGGGTCGCCGGTTTGATTCCCGGCCTGAGCTGAGCTGCAGCTGGGACACTGGTGGTGGACCACACCCTTCCTTGGGTCACTGGGATTTGGGGCAGCCATGTTGCGCGGTCTCCGTTGTATAGTAGCCTCGAGGTGTAAGTGTGGCAACTTGGCTGTGGGGGTCCATCCTGCCAGGGACATTGGGGGCTGCCCTGGCTGAGGCCACAGCTGCCCTGATGGTCCCTCCCCTGCCTCACGGTTCCAGTGATGACCGCAGCCCTGAGGCCTTCCGCACCCACATTGAGGCGGCCACACAGATGGAATCAGTGCTAGGTGCTGGTGGGAAGCCCAACTGCCTGGTCATCGATGAGATCGACGGGGCCCCCACGGTGGGCCTCCTGGGTGCCTGGCCGGTGGGTGTGTGGGTAGGTAGATGGGCAATGGGGGCTGTGGCTTATTGCGTCCACTGCATGTCCCCCTAGGCTGCCATCAACGTCCTTCTCAGCATCATCGACCACAAGGGCCCGAAGGAGGCAGAGCCTAGGGGCCTGGCCATACCAGCGGGTGGGGTGCCGCGGCGGCGGCGGGCAGAGGGGGGGCTCCTGATGAGGCCAATTATCTGCATCTGTAATGACCAGTGAGTGGGGTTGGGTGGAGCGGGGTCTTACGGGTGGGGGGCTGAGGGGACTCCACTGGGCTGGGCTTCCACAGGATGGCAGAGGGCCCTGGGCCCCTAGGGGGACACAACCCTGCCCCACCCAGCCACCCGGTGGATTCGAGGTCGGCACTAGAGTCTCCCCTCCCGGCCCACCACATGCCCACCCCGCAGGTTTGCAGTCTCCCTGCGGCAGCTGAAGCATCAGGCCTTCCTGCTTCATTTCCCCCCCACGCTGCCCTCCAGGCTCGTGCAGCGGCTGCAGGAGGTCAGTGAGGTGGGGACCGGGGCGGTGCACTGGGCCAGAGCTGCATGGCTGACAACAGTGTGGGGGGTTATGGCCCCTGTCTTGGTCCCAGCTCCCTCTCTATCCCTATCACCACCCGGGATGAGAGCTGTTACCTGTTCCTAGGGAAGTAGTGGCCACAGGGTGGGGTTCTGTGGGGTGGGCACTCACGCCCCTGCCTCCTGCAGATCTCCCTACGGCACGGCCTACAGGCCGACCCAGGAGCACTGGCAGCCCTATGCGAGAAAACAGACAACGATATCCGTGCCTGTATCAACACCCTGCAGGTGGGCAGGGGGCAGCTGGCTGGGGTGGGGCGGAGCCGGGGGCAGCTGCCTCTCACCCCCCACACCCTGTATTCAGTTCCTGCATGGGCAAGGCCAGCAGGAGCTGAGTGTTCAGGATGTGCAGACCACACGAGTTGGCCTCAAGGACCAGCGCAAGGGTCTCTTCTCTGTGTGGCAGGAGGTCTTCCAGCTGCCTCGGGCCCAGAGGTAGGCAAGGTGGGCAGAACGAGTGGGTGGGCCAGCCTCGGCCTGGACTTCTGTAGTGCCCCAGCCCTGGACACCAGACTCTGAGTGTGCAGGCTCCCTCCGTCCTTGTCCCCCCCCCACCCCTCTCCGCTTTGCCAACAGAGACCCAGGACTCCCTCAGCCCTGCCTTCAGGGCTGCATCTCTGCCTCCCCCATTGCCCACTCCTGGGGACCACCTCGGGCCGGGAGGGCGCTGCCAAGAGGAATAAAGTGGGGCCGGGGCCCCACTCCAGCCTCAGGACCCCCCCCTGCAGGCAACACGTGGGTCAGGACCTGACTCTGCCCACTCACACGCTCCTGCTGGGCGACGGGCTCACAGGCGCCGCACCCCACGCTGCCAAGGTGTCTCTGACCATGGCTGCACAGCGCTTCTACCACATCCTGCACACGGCCGCCTCGGCAGGCGAGCATGAGAAGGTGGTCCAGGTAACCGCACTACCCTGAACCGTTTTTCTGGCGTTGGGGGAGGCAGGAGGCCAGTATCTTGCCGTGCTCACCCATCCCCAGACAAGGAAGAGGAGGTAATTCAGATCGTGCCCAGCGGGAGAAGCAGCTGTGAAGGGAGTGAGATGGGGCAGACACGGGGTGTCAGGGAGACCTTTGAGGGGGCTGTGAGCAGGACAGAGTCAGTATCTGGAGGGGAATGGCTGTGCGGGAGAGAGGGTGGGCTGGGAGTGGGGATGGGGTGTCATTTGATTGATGGGATTACTGACCGCCAGTTGGGAACTCAATGTGAGGGGCAGTGTCAGCGGCCGGGCAGCCTGACCCAGTGGTTGGGAGGGGACTGATTCTGGACGTGAGCTGCAGGAATGCGGACATTTGGGTTAGAGAGCAGGTTGGGTGAGATTTGGGGCTGAGCAGGTTGCAGAGATGCCCCCGGCCCCCCGAAAGCCCGGCCTAAGCTGCCTCCCTAACTAAGCTGCTTTAGGTTAGCAGTGCTTTGGGATGTGTGCAAATCTGGAAATCCACAGTGCAGAGGGCAGAGCGATGTGGCGGGAGGGGATAGGACTTGAAAGGAGAGCAGGGGCTCTGCCCTCAATCCTTTAGGGAGAGGTTTTTTTCCTGTACTTCCCAGTGTCTTGGTCAAGCCAGAGTGGGGGCAGCGAGCGGGCCTTCCTGGCTCTCCCTCAGGGTCCCGTGGCCACTGGCTGGCGTTCGCCGCTGTCCGAGACCCCAGAGTTGGCAGGGCAGATGGGCAGGGAAGGGTCCCAGTGGGTGGTACTGGTGCCCTGGTGGGATCAAGAGGCTGGAGGGGCTCAGGGACCTGCTGCCCCCAGGGCCTGTTTGACAACTTTCTGCGCCTGCGGCTGCGAGACTCCAGCCTAGGCACCGTGTGTGTGGCCCTCGACTGGCTGACCTTTGAGGACTTGCTGGGCCAGGCTGCCCACCACCGTCAGAGCTTCCAGCTGCTGCGCTACCGGCCCTTCCTGCCCGCGGCCTTCCACCTGCTGTTCGCCTCTAGCCACGTGCCAAGGATCACTTTCCCCAGTAGCCAGCAGGAGGTGCGCTCTGCACCCTGCCTTGTTCAAGCTGGGTCCTGGAGGTGGGGTTGGGGGGAGTGGAGGGGTTCCTGGTTGACCTGGTCCTGGTTCATCCTCCACTCCAGGCCCAGAACCGGACAAGCCAGGTGCAGAATCTGATCCAGACGCTGGTGTCGGGTATCACACCGGCCACCCGCAGCCGGACCTCCGCCCTGGCCCTCGTCCTGGACACCCTCTGCCTGCTCCTGGACATCCTCGTGCCTAAGCTGCGCCCTGTGAGTGCCTCACCTAGAACGGGGGGTGGTTTCCAGCGGACTGGGCCCCTGGCCATGCTCAGTGTCCCTGTCTGCTGCCCACCTGCTCACAGGTGAGTACACAGCTGTATAGCACCCGTGAGAAGCTGCAGCTGGCAAGCCTCGTGGGCACCATGATTGCCTACAGCCTAACCTACCGCCAGGAGCGCATGCCCGATGGGCAGTATGTCTATAGGCTGGAGCCGTGAGTGCACAGCACCTGGAGTGGGGGTGTCAGGGGCTGGGCTGGGAGTCTAAAAGCATGGCCTTGGAAAGGTGTGTGAGTCTGTTTCCCCATCTGTCGGGTTGGGGGCGGGGGTGTCACTTATAGCTCAGCTCTTGCCCAGATGTGACCGAGGTGGGCCTGCAGGTTGGGTAGAGCCCCAGGACCTGAACTTTACTGCAGAGCCTTTCGCTGCCCCAAAGAATCCTCGAGCTCCCCAGGGCCCCGTTTCCCCATCCTGAGATGGTCCTGTTGCCCAGCAAGGGCCCCAGTGTGTGTGGGAAGCAGATGCTCGTGTGCTGATGGCAAGGAGGCAGTAACGGTGGTACTGGCGGTAACGAGCACGCAGCCAGCCTGAGCCCTGGCCCTGCCGTGTCGTCTCAGCCTCCCCATGGCAGCCCTGGGAGGTCCCTTCTTATGCTCACATACAGTGGGGAAACAAGCTCAGGAATAACCCCTCTGCTGGCCTGGGGCTGGGCCGTGGCAGAGCCAGAGCTGTGCATTCTGGCGTTTGGTGTCAGGGTGGTGGGTTGCCTCTGTCCCCACTGAGTGCGTGCCCGGATGTCCTGCCCCACCCACCCTGAGAGCAGGAACGTGGAGGAGGTCTGCCGCTTTCCTGAGCTGCCTGCCCGAAAGCCCCTCACCTACCAGGCCAAGCAGCTCATCGCCCATGAGATAGAAGTGGAGAAGATGCGGCGGGTGGAGGCCTTGGCCCGAGACCGGGACGTCCCCCAGGTGAGCCCACCCCGGGCTTGGGGCAGAGCGGGGCCTGGTAGGGCACTGCCTTCGGAGTGGACACTGTCCCTGGAATAGCCCTCACCACACCCACTTCCTGCAGGTGGACGAGAGTCCCTCCGGGGCCAAGGGTCCACAGGAGGATGCTGGGGGGAAGGGGGCGCAGCCACCAACCTCACATAGCCATGCGCAGTGGCTGGAGTGCATCCTGAAGAGAACTGCCCAGGAGGACCAGGTGTGAGGGTGGACCCGTGACTGTGGGGGCAGGGCCAGGCAGGGGCACGGTGGGTTGGCCAGAGGGCAAAGCTGGGTGACCTTGGTATGGTAGGCTTGTAAGTCCTGAGGGGCCTGCCTGTCCGTCCAGCACCCTGTTGCTCAGCAGGATGGAGATCCACCTGGGCCCAGTTTCCCATCTGGGCAGGAAGGTGGGCTCTGCTGGCACCTCCTGCCCTGGCCCTGACGGAGCAGGGTGGTGAGGGACAGAGGGGACACTTGCTGAGCAGGTCAGAATTGAGTGAGGGGAGGAGGCTGGGACAGGTGTCTACTCTCCAGCTGTGGGCCACTGCTCGGAGGCGCCATGAGCCCCATCCTCCCTGGGGGAGGTCTCCCCTTGTGACAGGGAGTGACCTCCATGGGTCTGACCATCTAACTCCTTTAGCCGGAGAGGGATTTTTTTGGCCGTTTGGTTGTCAGGAAAGAAGCAGCCCCATGTGCAGGTGTGTATGTGGGGGTGCTGGTGGTGGGGGGGCGGGGAGTGGAAGAGGGAGGGGCTGGGGTCAGGCAGAGAATCAACTCCGTGGCCCCCACAGAGGACGCAGCCCCTGAGACAGACTCGGCCGAGTGGCGCATGGGCACTGCGGTGGGCAGGAGCGACGTCTGGTTCCGCTTCCAAGAGGGTGTCTCCAATGCCGTGCGGCGCAGCCTGTACATCAGGGAGCTCCTATAGCCAGGCCACAGCGGGCACCCCAGGCCACACTGAACTCCCCGGGGTGATGCCAGATGTCCCGGACTACACCGGACACCCCAGACCCATGCCGGATGCTTCAGGGCCACACCAGACACCCCAGTTTTCATGACAGACACCCTGATCTATGCCAGACACTCGGGGGTCATGCTGGACATCCCCAGATCCACGCTGGACACCCTGGCATTGTTTTCTCTTTGTTAGAAAATGTACAGAAGCACAGACACCCTGAAAAGTCTTTATAAAAAGTCACACCTTTACTGCTGTTGTCTTCACAGAGGCGGGGGCCTGGGCTGTGGGCCTCACAGGATGGCGCACTTGCCCTTTTCCACCCATGGGTTGTTCTTCATCAGCTCAGGGTTTAGGAAGGGGTCCTTGGGGATCCCATCCTCGATCCACTTGAGGAGCCTGTGGGGAGGGAGGTTGGGGTGAGGAGGTGGGCACCTGGCCCCCTGGAGGTGTAGGCCCTGTGGTCTGGGCTATGGAAATAAGCACAGGGTGGAGAAATGAGATGCAAATCAGAGGCTGGCCTGGGTGGGGAGGGGCCAAGGCGCTGGGGTCCTGGGAACTCACTCAGGGATGGTCTTGGAGGACAGCTCCCTCTTGAAGGCCAGCTGGTACTTGAGGCTTTCAACCTCCTTCTTCATTTGGGGCACATCCCACTCCTCCATGGCATCGGGGGCTTCAGAAGTGGCCAGCCTGGGGCTGGAGGGCACAGGAAGAAGCAACGAAGTCAGGGGGACTGCCAGCCTGCAGTCACCCCCAGAAGCTCCCCCCGTGCTAGTGAGCCCCATTCTTGCACACTGACACCCAATCCACTGCCTGGGGAAGTCCCCCAGGTGCTACACCACCAGCCCTGGTGCTTCCCCAGGTCCACAAAGGCCTGGAGCTGAGTCCCCACTAATGAGGCCCCATGTGCCTGCCCCCCCCATGGGGCTAATTAACTGCAGAAGAAACTTTACACCCTTAGTTCTGCGTCCCCACCTCATCAAACTCTTACCAAGGCTGGGCCTCTGGGTTGGAGAGGAATGGAGTACTGTCCCCGCTGGGAAGCTAGCAGGACAGCACACAGCACAGGTTCCCAGGAGCCCACATCAGCTGCCCACACCCTCCAACTCAGGCTCACTTCCCATTCCTGGTTGCAGAGGTGCAGCCCAGACTCCCATAAGGGGTGGGACCCTTTTTGCCCCCCCTCCCCCACTTTGCATGAGCAAAGCCCCCACTGGGGGCAAATTAATACTGTGCTAGGAGGATTTGGCTGTAATTTGCATCTCTGGCTGGGGGTGGGGGGTGCTGGGGATCCTGGGGGTCAGGCTGCACAGCTGGTCCAGGACTCAGAACAGCTGCAGCCTGGTGTCTCCCCTGGAACTATTCACAAGCCGCTTGGCCCAGTTTCTGCTTGTGAACCAGCCTGGCAAAGCCACAGGTTGAGACCTCTCAGGAGATCCAGCCAGTTGGGGGCCCATGAGGGCGGGCTGCTTCCTGCCTCCCCCAGCCCACTCCGGACGACTCAGGGAGTCCCTCACTGCCCCCCGGGCCCTGCCCCTCCCCCCCATCCCTGAGGCTGGGAGCCAGGGGACCGGATTCTTGACCTTGGGAGAGTGGGCAGGGGCTGATGGGTATGACTTGGATGCCCTCAGGCTGTGGAGGGGGCTCCTGGTGGAGGGTCTCCATCCTGCGGAGGGGGGATGGGCCCTGGTCTTGGCTGCGGCTGGGAAGAGTGTTCAGACCGGGGATGGTTGCACGATCAGTCGGGGGTGGTGAGAGCCCAGGGAAGCAGGGCGTCTCTGAGGGACTGCCGGGTTGAGGGGGCGTGCAGGGGCTCCCTTCCCAGAGACCCCAAGTTCCAGCACCCCCACTCCCAAGGCGGGCTCTCACGCGGATAGCCACGTGGGGGAGGCATCCCAGTCCAGCGGCATCAGTGGCCCCGTTCGCAGCCCCCTCCGCTGCCGTCTGGCCCTACCTGTGCGCAGCCACCGCCGAGCCAGCCACCAGCCACCGGCCCCAGGAGCCCTGCCCGCCCCACAACCCGGGCCGCCCCCGGACACGCCGCTCGGCGGGCACTGCGGGCGGCGCGCACGGCGCAGCATGGACGCAGCTCCCTTCCCCGTCGGCTACCCCGCCTCACCCCGCTTGCAGCCACCGGGTCTGCCTCCGCCAGTAGGTCCTGGCCCCTTGGGACACGCAGGGCAGCTGCCTTTGGCCAGCCGACGGTCGGACAGGGGCGTCTCGTTTGGGGTCAGGTGTATCCAGGTTAGCCCAGTGGGACCTGGGCAAGACTCAGTACCCTGGATCTCAGCCCCCTGCGCAGCACAAGGCCAGCTCATCAGACCTACCTTGGGTGGTGACCTCGAGGGAGAGGTGATAACAAGGGCCAAGTGATGATGAAGTGACCGTGAGGGCGAAATGATGGGTGAGTGAGCCAGGCACACAGGCCAGCACAGCCCAGCAGGTGCCCGCCCACTCCTGCCACCTGGGGCCAGGCCCTGGTACCGCCCCCACCTTCTACCCGCCCTCCTAAGGGCTGGGCTGACCCCAGGGATTCAGCCTGGCCCAGCCAGCCACCAGGAGTGGGAGATGCAGCCAGAGACAGCAAGTCAGTTCTGGCCCTGGGCAGTGAGGCCTCCTCCCACAGGGCTGAGTGGGCTCCTGGATTGCCACGTGGTGCCATCACCAAAGACCTGCAGCTGTTAAATTGTACCCCAGCCCTCCAGTGACCCTCATGGACTGGGATCACCAGCTCAGGAAGGAGTAGCAGGGCCAGGGCCAGGACACTGGGCTCCTCTGTAGCCTCAGCAGTGTCCCCTGACACCCAGTGGGCAGCCCTGCCCTGAAGTGGACCCGCCCACAGGTGTGAGCCTGTTCCTGCAAGGGAACCTTGGAGTTGCTCCCTGCTCTGGCCCCTGCCCAGACCAGGCAGCTGCCCCAAGGGTGCCCTGGGCAGGTGCTGTATGGGAGGTAGTGAGTGCCGGCTCAGGGGTGCTCAAACCTAGGCTGGGTGGCTTTGGGGTACTGGGGTGGCAGGGGTTCCCTTCCTCGCTGTGGGCCTATTATCCCTCTGCTAGGCCCCTCAGCCTGGCCCATCGAAGGACCTGTGATGTGGCCCAGGTGGACCCTTGCCCTGCCCTCCAGTCCTCAGGGCAGATGCCACCAGGGCTGGGACCACGTCCCCTTCTCAGATGATACCCTGGGTGTGCCCAGGGGGCCCACCGCCCTGCTCCACTCTTGGGAGATCTATGCCCCCAGGATCATTGGGTGATGCAAGTGCCAGGTTGCATCCTGGGCAGGCCCCCAGGTGGCAGGGCCCAGCTCCCCAACCAAGATCCCCAAGGAGGCTGGAGCCCGAGGGCGGCCTAGACCAGGTCCTTAGAAGGTGCCCCTGTGGCCTCCCCTGGTCCAGGGGCCTATGAACAGTCAGCCACTCTGCCCCCACCTGGGAGGCAAGAGGGGGTGCTCCTGCCCCCTCAGGCACGTGGGCCCGCACTGTTGTGATTCCATAAAAGGGGTCAGTGGCACCTCCTGCCCCTCGCTCACGTACACGATGACAGATTAGGAGGTAATTCTGGAACTGGGGCACATCAGGGAAACCAGGAATTATTTTTATTATGGATTTAGCGGGGTGGGGGCTTAGAGCCAGGGGTGTCTGTGTCTTCCTCAGGGCAGATGGCCGCAGTGCTGGCCTCACTCCACCCCCTCGCAGCTGTCCTTGGGGCCTGTGCTTACCTGCCTGCCTGGCCCCTCAGGTGCCATGACTGGGCTGCCTGGAGCTCTCCTGGGGCTGGGGACCCTGCTCACACGAGGTGGGAGGCTCAGGACAGAGGTTCTTGATGGCCCCCAGGACTGGCTCAGGGTTTGGACTGAGACCCAGGTGGGCCAGGCCCCACCACCAAGTCACGCCTCCCCCTCAGAGGGCATGGGCAGAACTGGGCATCTAGAATCAGGCGCTGGCCTGACAGCATCCCAAGAGTCCCCTGAGAGAAGCCCTGGTATGTCCTGCTAGGTGAACTCACGTGGTCAGCTCCAGGGGCCTACTTCTCAGGTGCTGTTTGAATTCTCCACTGTGGAATCAGAAAGCTCCGCGTGGTCACAGTTGAAATTCACTTAGAGCCACCGTGAGGGCTCAGAGGCTGGTGCTTGAGCTCACCTGGGCACCCTCAGCACAGCGTCGCCAGGCCTGCAAACAGGAGCTGCTGTCCCCACTGCTGAGCTGAAGCATCCTCTGGCCAATGGTCATACCTACAGCGGTCACTGCGTTGAATTCGTTAGGCCATCGTGACAGAAGCCATGACTGCACTTGGTGGCCGAGCTGAAGCATGCCTGCTAGTGTGAGCCCGTGAAGCCCTTGTCCCTGGTGAGAGTTGGGGGACTCTGACTCCTATTTCTCACCTTCCTGGGAGGTGGGATTTGGGTCTAGGCCCCCCTTGCACTGGAGCCAAACAAGGGGGACCCTGTGGGCCTGGAATGTTCAAAGGCCCAGGGATTTGGGGTGGGAGGGGACACTCAGGAAGCAGGGACAGCTTGTCCTCTAACTGAGCGCCACCTCACAGGCTCCCAGAGTGAGTCCAGGGAGACCGGACGACTTTCTGAAATTAGCTCCACTAAGTGGGTTGCTGGTGAGAACCAACAAAGCTCCTTGCTGGCCTAGAAACAGCCACCTCAGGCCCCTTGCCTGCCAAGGCCCCTGATGGAACAGGGCGATGTGAGCCAGGCCTCCCAGGGGTGTGTGGTGAGTGTGGGCGGCAGGCACAGAGAGACCCCGTGGCAAGGGCCCCCTCCTGCTGCTTTCAGTGTTCAGGAAGAATAAAAAAATGGTGGGTGGGGTTCCCAAGAAGGGATCAGGGAGAAGGAGAAAGAAATGCCCCAACCAGACATGACCCACAGCCTGGCACTGTCCCCACCTGGTCCCATCATGGCTCAGATCTGTGGACTGTCTCTCCCTGGGTCACCTCTATGTCACCCAGTGCCACCTGCAGCCGCTGCCAGCTCAGCTCCAGCTCTCTGTGGGGAGACAGTGCTACTAGGGTTCTCCCGAGACCAGGGTGCTCTCTCTACTCCACACAGAGGGCAGGCCGCCCTGGGCAGAGGAGAGGAGGGATTCCTTCAGAGTGCCACCCACCTCTCCATGTCTGCAGCTGTGCTGGGGGGTGGGGGAGTCAGACCCTCCCAGGGCCACATATTCATTCTCAGGTGGGTTGCCTAAAGAAAAGGGGCCAGTGAATGCTGTGAGACTCTGGCTGGTGGGGGCCTGGCCTGACAGCTCTGTCCCAGGGCGGGTCAGGAGCAACAGGGGTTACAACACGCCACCCCCCACCCCCACCCCTGCACTGAGACACATTACAATAGCCCTGGCAGCCTTACGGGGACACGCTGACTTATTTCCCATCCCTAGAAATAAACTTGGCTGAGATGAATGGAGGAATTAGAGAAACACCAGAAAAAAAACTCCTTTTATTCACCTGGTTAAACAGAGCTCACAAAAAAAAACTAGATAGTTTTGGGACGGCTGAGTGGCACGTTGGTTAAGAGTTGGCTTGGGACGTCAGCTCTGAACAGCAGGGCCCCGGTTCGGATCCCACATTAAGGCCAGTGATGCTCTGCCCTCTACAGCTAAGATGGTGAACAACAGCTCGACCTGCAGCTGGGCTGCCATGAGTCGCCGGCGACGGCGTAGGCTGCAGTGGAGCTGCAGTGGGCTCCCGTAAGCTACTGTGAGCGGCCGGCAGTCGGGGTGAGCTGCTAAGAGCCGCTATGAGCAGCTGTCCAGTGACCGGCGACCGATCTGCCTCACCCGGGAAGAGCACAATGATAATACCAACATGCGCCAGTGAAGTGACATCCTCCACAACTAGACTGAAGAACAAAAGGACAGCAACTTGTCCCCAATTCCCCAATAAAATCTTTAAACCCCCCCCCCAAAACTAGATAGTTTTTACATAATTGAAAGTTTGACACTGATTTGCAAAGATAAGCTCTTAGGCCTATGTGTGCAAAAGACATAAATGATTCCAGGGACATCACAGGCGGGTGAGCTGCTGGCCAGCATGTCCTCTCGAATTTCAAAGTCTCAAGGAAGAGGTTTTGGCTAAAGCGGTTTGTCTGAACTGCTCTGTGGTCTGGGTGGGAGGGCATAGACTCAGCTCCTCTGGCAGGCTGGCTCTCCTCTGGGAATTCCACATGTGGCCAAGGTCTCAGCACTCTGGTGTCAGACATAGTAAAGCAATTTTTCTCTCTGAGAGCACTGACTAAAGAAAGTCACACATTTTCTTTTTTTTCTTTCTTTTTTTTTTTTAAATTGGGGAATTGGGGGATGGGAACAGAGCTGAGGAATTGGGGGAAGGGGAATAGACAAGTTGCTGTCCTTTTGTTCTTCAGTCTAGCTGTGGAGGACGTTGCCTCACTGGTCCAAGTTGGCACCATCATTGCGATCTTCCCGGATGAGGCAGATC